TTGTCTATCGTCTCCCTTTTTGTTCAATCTGTATACAGAACATATAATAAGGAAAGGTGGATTAGAATTAGAGGAGGGAGTGAAAATTTGTGTAAGAAACACCACTAATTTAAGATATGCAGGTAATACCATACTACTGGCAGAAGCAGCAATGACTTGAAATGACTCCTGATAAAAGTGAAAGAAGAAAGTGCAAAAGCAGGACTGCTGCTGAATATTAAACAACAAAAAGAATTAAAATAATTCTTCAAGAATTACAAAACTATATTGTTAATAATGAAGAAATGGAAATTTTGAAAGATTTCACATACCTTGGCTCATTCAATTCAAAGGGAGACTGCAGCCAAGAAATCCAAAGGAGACTGAAACTTGGAAGGGAGCAATGAAAGAACTAGAAAAGATCGTTGAGTGTAAGGGTGTTTTCCAGATATCCAAATCAAATCACAATGGATGACTGTGAAAGCCGGACCAGTGAAGAAAGCCAGCAGGGCAAAAAGTGGTGTGTTGAAAATGTGCTGGAAGAGTTTTGTGAAAGCCCTGAACCAACAGAAAGGCAAACAAGTAGGTGCTAGACAGACCTTTCCCTAGAAGCAAAAATTCCAAAACAGAAGCTGTCATAGATAGGACACATCATGAAAAGGCAAGATTCCCTGGAGAAGATGATTACATCAGGGCAAGTCAAAGGGAGAAGATGAAAGGGAAGATCAGATATGACATAGATTAATAAAGGAAGCCAAAGCCTGGAACGTGTAAATGCTGAGTGTAGCTGTTATGGACAGGACATTTTGGAGGGCTTTTATTCAAAAAAGTCTAATTCATCTTCATGATACATAACAACAAAACAAGCTAGATATGATGGAGACAGCCACATTTATGGTATACATATCTACTCAGAATTAAGCCTCATTAAGTTTAATAGTATTTAGTCCTAAGTGACTAGAGGATTGCAGCCATAAATATGTATCTGTCCTATCCAAGTGTGTGCAGAAGAATCTTTCCAATTTCAACATCAAAAAGGGTATGTGAGAGGAAATCTTTAGATTGTGGTGTAAACTTCTGAAAATCACGTTTAACTATTTCAGTGTACTTATCTAGAATCAGAGAACTGGAAAAAGTCTGGTCCAACCTCCTGCTCATTTTAGGGTCTACCATGCAGGATGAAGACACAACGTCCTTGACAGCCTTTGCTTAAAATAACTCCAGTCAAGAACACAGACAAAAACCATTCCCAAACTAGGCAGGCTGTTCCAAACCAGGCACTCTTGTTGGTTTTTCCTAACATTAAGCTTAAATCTGCTTCTCTGCAGTTCCCATCCACTGGTTCTAGTCCGGTGCCCAGAAACATCAGAGAACTTTTCTCCAAGTTGTATATGGCAGCTTTTCAGATATTTGAAAATCACAACATTTCTATTTCTCTTTGTCTGCTAAAACATACTAGCCCTCTCAGTTGTTTCCTATGGGTGCTATGTTACTAGAACTCTCACTATCCTTGCTGTTCATCCCTGGAAGCAGTCCAGATCATGAGTATCCTTAAAATGTGGCACCTAAAGCTGGACAAATTACTGAACATGATACCCCAGTTGCAATCCTTTTCACAAATGCTGCTCTCCAGCCACTTGTCTCCCATCCTGTACCTGTCCCCCATCCTGTACCTGTGTCCCAAGTGCAAGACCTTGCACTTAACTGCATTGAACACCATCCTGTTTCCCCTGCCCAATTCAATAGTCCATCCAGATCCTTCTGGATCTGGAGTACCTGCTCCTCAGTTGTGGCCACCGCCCCCATGTTAGCATCATCTGCCAATCTGATCAAGAGACTGCTAACCTCCTCTTCCAGGTCATAGAATTCCACAAGGTCTTCCTGGAAGGACCTGTTTTTGCGGAAGCTGTGTTGCATGGCCACTAACCTCCTTTCCCTATCTAGGGACTCCAGAGTGTTTCCTGTTATGAGCCTTTCCATTGTCTTTCCCACAATGGACATAAGGCTAACCAGTCTGTAACTCCATGTCCCCTCTGCTACAATTTTTGAAGACTGGGACCACTGACGCCATCCTCCAGTCCTCTGGAACTTCACCCATTCTCCATGAGGTCTCAAAAATGGAGGCCAGCAGACATGAGAGTTCCACTGCCAACTTCCTAAGTACCCGTGGGTGTAACCCATCAGGGAGTGGCACCTTCATAACATCCAGTGCCCTGAGGAGCTCCGCAGTGTCTACGGGGGTGACTCTCATCTATACCCCTAAATCACCAGCTTCGTCTGATCCCCCATATGGCTCTCCCCCATCCTGCTTTGGTGGGAACACAGAAGCAAAATAGTCATTTAGCATCTGTGCCTGTTCCCTCACATCACCCACCAAATCACCTTTCTGCTTATTAAGTGGTTCCACTGCCTGTCTCCCCTTCCTCTTGCTATTTACATGTTGATATAAGCCCTTTTTGTTGCTCCTGATATTCTTTGCAAGTCTCAGCTCATAATCAGCTGAAGCCTTGCAAAGAATCCTTCTGCAATGAGCCTCCTCCTCCTCCCCCTTCGTCTACCTGCCCCAGTGTCCATTTCCTTTGGAGGTTCCTCTTAGGCCTTATCCCTCTCACCACCTCTTTTCACATCCACTTGGGTGCTCTCCTTTGTCTCCCCACCTTGCTAACTAGTGGTATTGTCAAGGCTTGCACCTCAAAGACCTCCCTTTTGAGGTCTTGAAATAACTCATTGAGGTATTGCTTTTGAGGTCCTGAAATACCTTGCCTCCCAGTACCCTCTCCCTGGAGTTTCCCTAGTCTGGCCTTTAATGACCAAAGTTGGCCCTTGTGAAGTCCCATCTTCTAGTACTTAGCCTGCTGCTTATCCCCATTCCCCTGATCACAAAGGATGGAATGATCACTCGCATCCAGAGCTCCCCTAATCTTCACCTCATCCCCCAGATCTTCCCTGTTGGTCAAAACCAAGTCAAGGATATTTTACCCCCTTGTTACCTCCTGAACCCTCTGCATGAAAAATCCTCCGTCTATAGCATGTAGGAAGCAACATAACCTGTCATCACCAAGTAAGTCTTCCAAGTAATACCTAGGAGATTTAAATCTCCCATAAGTATTGTGTTCCTCCCCCAAGTTATCCTTTAAATTTGGTCTGTCAGGGTATTGTCCAGGGTCTCATGTTGACTTGGTGGGTGACAGCATATCCCCAGTCAGGTCCCTCCCGTCAAGACAGTTTTACCCACACCACCTCTACCAGATCCCCTTCTGCAGCACCCTCTATCTCACTGCATCCTATCCTTTCCCTGACATAGAATGCTATGCCCCCTCCCCCTTTCCCTTCCTGTCCTTTCTAAATACCCCTCTATCTTTACATTCCAATCCTGCCTTTCATCCCACCATGTTTCCATAATCCCCACCAATAGGAGGGTCATGCCCTCCCATTCCTAGGAGAGCCTCGAGCTCTTCCTGTTTCCCATGCTCCTAGCATTAGTATACATGCATCTCAGCTCCTCCCCACAACCTCCTTTCTTCGGGTCGCCTGGCCTCCTCCTTCCCTTGGTACCAGAACACTCTTCGTAGAAATCCCACCAGCTCCTACATTACCTTCAACACCCTGGCCCTGAAACCCTGATCCTGTCCTCTGGATGTTACATTAGTGGCGTTCTGATATATTTGAATTGCACTTTTCATAATCGCTCCCATAACCATGCTAGGAAGGAGAGCCCAAAAATGCAAGCAGCTGTGTTGAACCCTTATCACTCACCAGTTCTAGTAGTTTTATCTCTACCAGGAGCAGGTCTTTTAAATGGCTGAACATGCCAAAATACTTCAAACTATAACAGGCATATATTATTGCTGAAAAAATGCATTTTTCCCCAGCTACCATGAAAATTGCAAATATGTTCAAAGGAAAAAAGGGAATTCTGGTCATGGAGACTGGCTGATGGCAGTAGCTGACCTCAGAGGTAGAGTGTAGTGCTTCAGAGCAAGGATCTAGTATTCAGGCAATCTGGACTCTAGTCCCCACTCAACCATGGAGCTCGCTGGATGACTTTGGGCCATTCATAGACTAGCTTACTATTCATAGACTACCTTACCATTCATATACTACCCAGCCTACCTTACAGGGTTGTTGTTGTGAGGATAGAATGAGAGGAGAAGAATGTGTAAACCACCTGGAGTGCCTTGGAAGGAAAAAAGGCAGGATATAAACGAACAAACAAATCCCACATTACTGCTAATTGAAAAAGTGCTGGTGCTACATCCCTGTGAAACCTGGCTGCTATACCAAATATACTTCTGTTAATGCAGCCTAAATTTTATTAGCTTCCCTTCCCCCAGCAGGTACACATTTGATATCACTTCCCAAATTCTTTGGTTTCATTTCATTTCATTATACACACTGAAGTGTGATTGCTGTGTTTGTTCATCCAGTGCAGAGGTACTTCATTTTTAGGGATAAAAATAGTTCATGGCCTAGAAATCTGAACTTTAATATACATTTTATCAAAGATAGCCTAATTAATAGGGAATGCACATGTGAAACAGGACTTTTGTATGGGAACTGCAGAGCACTGCTTTTTAAGTATCTACAGTATGTGTGAGTACATTTTAACCCAGGAATAGGGAAAGAACATGTGGCACTCCAAGATAACATCTTTAACTTCCATCAACCCTAGTCAGCATAATCACTGGTGAGGGGTTATGAACGTCAGCATCCTCAGGGTTCACATTCCCTGTCCTTGCTCTAACATTACTACTGGGAGATCACAACCAGGTTTCAAATCTGTGGACCCAGGCAATAATCCAGTGCTGTTCCAAAGAGTTCCGCAGTCCTAGTTCATTCAGCTTGCTGTGACAATTACAAATGCTCCCTGATAAACAGCACCTCTGGAGAGTGACTGGTATGCATTCTTGACCTGCCTCCTGCTTTTTTTTTCTTTCCCTCTTTTGACCCTTGGTAGACATTTAGATTGTAGTTTTAACAATCCTTCATTTCCCCTATGGATGGCCTTCATACCACTCTGCTATTCTTTAGATCAGTTTTTTATCACAAGAAAATGCTGTAAAGGTTACATGATTGATCCCTGTGAATTTATTACATTTTTAAATCACCCAATAACCAAAGTCCTCTGTGAAGGTACCACTGCAGCTTTTGTCATTCCTTGTTCTCACATCTCCCTTCACTCTCTCTGGCAAAAATATCACTCTTCTTACAGAACACTCTTCTTACTGGCCCTTGAACTTTTCATCTGGGAACCCATGAGTTCTTGATATGCATGTTTTCAACTAATCCGTGAAACTGGGTGAGTTCCAATGGAAATGTCCATCCTAGCTTCACTATGCATTCCAATTTGTTTTCTTGTCAAAAGTACGCGATACATTTTCTGTTAGAAAGGATTCAGAAGAAATCATAGAATAGTAGAGTTGGCAGGGGCCATGAAGACCATCTCGTCCCAACCCCTGCTGTTGCAGGACACCAATTTACACTAGCCCATTCAGACGACTATCCAGTTTTTCTCCTGAATGTCTCTAGTGAGGGAAAGTCCAACACCTCTCTAAGCAGCTGGCTCAACTTGAACTGATTGTGACAACCCAGATTCAGGCTGGACATCAGGAAAACCTTCCTCACTGTCAGAGCAATTCGACAGTGGAATGCAGGGATCCCCAAAGTACATGACTAACATGAAGGTGTTTCAGAAGGGAGAAAAGGCAGTGTTTAAACATAATAAAAAAAATAATTATGCTGGTTCTAGTGATCATAGTTGGGGGGGCAGGATGACGCTATCAGTGTCAACTTTGTATAATTATTTATGGCCTGTGGGACTCCCTTCTTGGACTAGCAACTCAAGGGTAAACTCAGACTGACATTCCTTCCCTCCATCAGGGTCACCACAAGCTTTCCTGATGCCTGGGGTGGTAACAGCACACATGCACTGTAAACTTATCTCCTCTCACCTGCACACTGCATCTCCTTCTGTCCCCACCTCTGAAGAGCTACATCAATTGTAAAATAGTGGCTGGCAGAACTCTGTAGAAAGGGGTTATTTTTCAGCACCAAGCATCATAGAGGGAGCTGTTCCTAAAGGTTATCTACAGTACAAATTATTTCCAAGGACAACCCCTCTCATATTGCCTGACATTTGGACCTAGCTGAGCTGTACTGGCCATTTTTATGGCCACCACAGCTCTTCAGAGAGACCACCTGCCCTCTGGATCAGTCTCAGGAATAACCAAAAGGTGGCGGCGGCACCACCTGCTGGTTGTTCTCTCCCAGAAGCATTTGCTGTAGCAAGAGAGCAGGACCATCTGGGCTCTCCAGAACACCCACTGTTGTGCCATTGGGCTGGGCGGCAGCTCAAGTCATTTGTTGGTTCTACTCTCCCACTGTGGCAAATGCCATAATGGAAAAGTTGCTGCAGGGCTCTCCCAAGCACTTGCCCACCTAGCAGCACCTGGAGAGATTACATAATTCACGGCTTCTCTGCTCCTCTACCTGAGAAGGGTTTCATCCTACTTTGTGGGAGAGCTGTGCTGCCCAAAATCTGTATTTTTATTTCAAAATTTTGCTGAACATGACATCTATTCAACACTGCTGAAGATTTTTAGGGGATGCTTTAATGCTCAAGTTTGGGACTTCAGTCTTCATCTTCAGCAATAAACAAAAGAGGAGGCACTACAGAAAAGGTGGTAACACTTGCCCATGGGAGAAGGATGCGGAGAGGATCAAGCTGTTGTAGGAGAAGGGACACACTGCTTTGTTTGTTCGAAAGTCTCTCATACATTCACTTTGTTTTTCTATTACAAGACTGAACAGAGTGAAGAATGAGGTGTGGAACTAAAGGAACATTTAAACCTGAGAGAGTTGCCAGTGAGAGAAGAAAATGGAAACAAGGAGGAAGGAATCCCAATCAAACTCCCAAGATAACAGAATCAGAATGTATGATTGAATAAATAAAAGTCCTTAAGATTATTTAGGTCTGTTCTGCTAGCAATGTTTCCTACACAGACAGATGCAAAGCAACACCATAGCCCCAGCTGTTGCCCCTCATTCAATCAGATAGAAAAATAAAGGACTAGTTCACTGGAAATTCTTCAGTTTTACAAAACTAAGAGATCAGCATTTCAGCCTCAAGCTTCTATGTCAACTTCTGCTTTCTCTTCAACTCCATTCTGTTTCTCGTCTTTCATTTCTGTCTCTTCTTTGCGGACTGTTTCAGCTTCCAGCTACAGAAAAGGCATTAGGATAAAGATAAAGTGAGGAGGACTCTTGCCTTGTTCAAGCTGTCTGAGTATTTTTACATAAGATTTGCACATTTTGACACAGTGACTTTCTAAGTGAAATGTATAAACTTCTAATGGATCAGTCAGTTACAAAAGAAATACAGTTTAAATCATGTCCTTCATTCTTATTGAGGATTTAAACAGAAAGGAAGATGGTATGGCTATGGAGTCCCTAAATATTAACCAATGGGCAAGAGGAATATATTTTAAGAAAACTTCTTGAAGCCTTATAACAGAGATGAAGAATCTCCAGTCCGCAGGGTTGATGCTTCCCATATGTCTCCCCACCTGCTTTGCAGCCACCCCACCCCATGAAAGAGCAAGGCTTTTCAAAAGCCTCCTGGTGATAATGGGAGCTTTCAAAAAACCTTACTGCTATGTCATATCTGTGTGTGTGTGTGTGTGGCACCTGAAGAGATTGTAACCCTCCCCCACACTTTAAACACCCCTGGCAGCAATTACGCTTTTGAAAAGACTTCATTGTTGCTCCAAAAGTCTTATCGTAGAAGGGCATTTCCTAGGTGGTGCTAAGCATATGAATCTATATGGATGTGTGTGTATGAGCGTGGATGATGCTTTTCAAGAAGTGTATGTTATTGTTATATGTTCATGTGTCCCACTTTTTGCACTGCACCCCTGTCCATGGGCTGAAAAAGTTACACCATCTGTGTACTGTAATGTCCATCAGTATGAATAAGAGAAGGTGGGGTTTGCCTATTGGTCAAAACATATGAGTTATTCTGAGAACTCATGCGTACCTTTGTTTCCTTGTCTGCAAGTCTCTGAAACATGTTTGCATACATCTTTTTCTCTCTCTCATGCTGTTCACGGATCTTTTGCTGACAGATTATTAGCTGTGTTTTGGCTGCTTTGTTGCTTGGATAGAGCTGCAGCACCTTCTGGAAATCTGCTCTTGCTAACTCAAAGTCATTGACAGCCAGCCGGGCCTCACCACGCCGAAAAAGACCTTTTTCATTGTTGCTGTCCAACTCAAGGGCCTAGTGGTTAGATGACACAAGGTAGAAAGCATTTAGGAAAGATACCCAAATATAACTGAATCTATGATGTGAAAGCACCATAGATTCAGACTTCTCTGGTTCTTTGTAGGAATGACAAACAGGAGCCCTAAAATCACCCTAAAAGGCTATGTGTGCACACATGGCAAGATGGAGCAGCCACCTAAGAGCAGGAATTAGAAATAGCCATCAAAGAGCAAAGAAAAAAGAGAAAGGAGTCTGTGCTTTCTTGGAGAGAGGAGAAAGTTGTGATATAGGAAAAGTGCACCACTGCATTCAGCATCATTTTTAGCAACAGCCAGCTAATTGCTTGCAAAGGTTTACAAATTAATCATGAACATAACAACCTTTCCCTGTTTGTCTCTAATATGTGGCACTCAGAGGTTTAGATACAATCTATCTTTGACTCAGTCTAAGCTAGTGAGCCATCATGACTCTTATGGAATTCCTCCTGACAAAAGGTGATTATCAATGTGGTGTTCTAGTACCTGCTTTGTCATGAACCTCACTGGGAGTGACTTTGGATTAGTCATGGACTCTCAGCACAACCACAACACAACAGTGACAACTTTCAGCATAAGAACAACCACCCTCACAGGGTTGTTGTAAGAAGGATCATGGATACTCTCTTGGGCTCCTTGGAGGAAAGGTGGGATATAAAGTGTAACAAATAATGGGTCATTAACCTAGATACCGTCAAATAAACTATTAGTAGACAGATTAATGATCTATAAACTGCTTTGGACAGACAGAAGCCCAAAGCAGATGCAACATGCCCTTGCAAACCTCTTTCCCCCAACTTTTTTAAAAAACCAAAATCAGCCTTAGAAGGCTTGAAGTCTGAGTGGAGGAAACAGAGGAAAAGGAGAAAGGTTGCTTAACTTTCCCCCTTCCTATTTTTTTAGATCAGTTAACCTCAGCCCAATCATCTATGTTTGTTTCTAGGTGTCTCCATGTTCCTGCTGACAAACATGACCAAAAACAACGACTTCTCCCCCGCATTCTTTCATTCAAACTCCCAGCCTCCCAAGGCTACTTGTAGTAATTTTGTTTGCTTATTTTATTTTAAATAGTTGGCAGGGGTGAGGGAATTACATACGACTCCATGTCATGTCTGCTTCAGTCTTCAAGTTGGCTGTTTCCAAATCTAATCTGCATTGACGTGTTTATTCTGGACCTGTGTTGGCATAGGGGCTATTTCATGGGACTCGCTGAAGTTGTGGGAAGCTGTTCACATATTACAGTTTACCCTCTTCTACTTCACAAAATCTTTGTCTGCATTGGAGATATAGCAAAGGAAAGGAAGAAGAGGCTGAGCCTGTGAGCTCTTCTTCAGTTCCCCTCCTCTGCACAGTCTAAGACTGTGAAAACTATTAATTGAATATTTTTGCAATCTCCTGCCTTGGTATCAACTCAAGATTTTCTTATTTCAGTATTCCAACTGCTGCTGTGTAGACTGACACTGACAAATCATACAATGTGGGAAACAAAATTCACAAATAAATGGAATCAGTATGTTTTAAACCCAGGTTAAGGGAAACAAACTCAAGATAATAGCATTGTGTCAAGCTATATACCTTTGTCCCATTTTACACATCTTCAAGCACAATCAGTGTTAAGAATCACTATTACTGGCTTGTTTGTCTCCCTAAATATCATGACATTTACCTTACTGCAGTTCTCCAAGACCTGGGAATATTCCTTTAGCTTCAGATGGCACATGGCCAAGTTAAGATGGGCAGCAAGTCTCAAACTCTTGGCCTTTGCTTCCTCCACTTCAGATAGCCCTGTTTCATGTTCTAGCCATGACACAATCTTCTTATATTGTAAAGTTGCCTGTTTGTATTTTCCTTCCTGGAAAAAAAGGGGTTACAGTACTATGTCAAACTAAAATGAGTTGGAGGGACAAATACTTTACCCAGAAGATGCCCAGAGGCCAAATATATAATGGCTCAACACACAGAAGTTAATTCCTTCTGAAGTCTATCAACTCTACCTCATAATTAAACATTGATCTGGTTTTCTTGACTAGACAGGAGGGGGGTGGTCTGGAAGTGTGTGGGGAATTAACATCAAATTCCATGGTCAAATTACTTCCTATTGAGGTTTAGAATTTCAACTCCTTCTCCCTTCTGCAAGGGTGGGGGAGCTTTTAAAATGCTTTGTTCCCAGAGACTGATGGATCCTGATGGTTTCTAGAAGGCTCTGCAGGCGTTTCTGGCCGGTGCTCCTATGGAAGCCCAGGTCACTCTATAGAATTAGGAGGCTGACACAATTGCACCCAAGTGCCCTCTTCCTTTGAGCCAACCCTGGCCAGCGCCTTGGTACACACCTGAGGGCAATGAAGCAAGAGGGGAGATGGCTAGCACACAGGTGGAAGAAAACTTGTGTTGAGTTCAATCAAACAGTTAAAGCTCATTATCAAACCTACTCTGTGGCAGTAAGGATAGCAAAAAGGCATTTCTTTTCCACAAGCATTGTAGTGCTATCCAGCAGAGCTTTTCCAGGTGGCTCATGTCCTGTTACAATCTGGGCCAGAAAAGAAAATTATGGGACCTTTGGTAGCTCACTGTGATAAATCTGCACTACACTTCAAAGGTAAAATCTCTCAGATTTGTCAAGAATTTGACACCATAAGTAATACAGTTGCAGCAACAGAGGCATCCAGAGAACTGTCTGGTCCAATTTTTTTGGATGAGCTTCAGTTATTGAGGAATGATGATGTGGATAAGGTGCTTGATCAAGTCTGGGTCACCAGCTGTGTGCTCAACCCTTGCCTATCATAGCTTTTCATAAGAACGGCAGGTTGCTTACCATAACTGTCATTCTTTGAGTGGTCATCTGTGCAGTCACACTCATATGGGCTTTGCTGTGCAGCACAAGGCCTGAATCAGAGAAAACTTCCATAGCTTTGCTTCACGGAGTGGGCAGGAGCCCCGCCCCATCCCTGGTGAGGATCGGGATGGGGGGGGGGGTCTCCCGCCTAGTCCCTCAATTGCCTTGAAGACTGCATCATCCCAGTCGTGTGAAAGAACCAGAAACCTGTAAGAGAGGCATGGATGACCATGCCCAGCCTGAAAGGCAATGCAGTGTGTTGGGGTGATGATAGCCAGCAGAGTGGAGGGTGGATTGCGTGAAAGTACAGGTGACCACTTGAAGAATGACAGTTACAGGTAAGTAACCTGCTTTTCTTCTTTGTAGACCCTCTCCATCAAAGGGCATGGCCTCAGTGTAGGCCCTCATTTCCAGAGGAAGGGAGGCGGAGTGCAGCCACATGTGGCAGTGAAGTGCTATGGCGCCCATCATTGCCTTGCTATCAGAGTTGACATGGTGTTGAGCTTCCTCAGTCTGGAATCTAGAGAGCTTCTCTACTTCTGTGTGTACGAGCCGGATGGGACCATTGACTGTGGGTGCTGCTTCGCCGCCCAGGAGTTGCCTGGGATGCCACTGTTCCCCCCTCCCTGCCCCCGCCAGATTAGGGCAACTCCTCCTCCTAGTTCCCAACTTCTTCATGCTCCAACATGTCCAATGCCTCAGGTCTGACCAACACACTCAAAGAGACCGCACCCAGCTGACTCTGACTCCAGCTCCTCAGAGCCTACTCTTTGCCCCAGCCCTGCTCCAGACTTCCTGCCTGGCATCACCGACTCCAACACCGATTACCAACATGAAGATATCTACACCGATGTGACATGTAATAGCTTTTATTCTTTTCTAGCTTCAGTGTTATGTAATCATGGATAAGTAGCTGAGACTATATACATAGTTGGATGGGCATTCCCATCCATATTCTGTTTCAGTTATTGGCTAAGTGCAACTGGAGTACAAAAGATTAGCTCAGCTGCCACATCAATGGAACTGTATTCCTTCTCTTCACCAACATCCAAGCAACTGTGAACAAATTTGCACTCATTTACAAAAGATGGCAAAACCTGCAGCAAAGAGGAATGTTCTGTACCAAATGAAAATATTCAGAAATGTTACCATTCCATTTTGGCATGTCACTATTCTTCAAATGTGAGGTAAATGAGCTATGAAAGTAAAGTAAGCCACTAGATATGGTCACTAGATATGTTGCTAGTCTGTGGATGCATCAAGGGTGTCAGAAGAAGCCTACAATGCTACTAATTGAAGCACAATCTTCTGAAACAGTCCTCTTAGTTGAGGATAGAGGTTATCAGAATAAGCAGGAAAGAAAAAGAAGCAGTGTTCCATGCATCCCTTGGCTAAGTGCATATTGCCTGTTCATTCTTTCATGAGCAGAATAATCACTCTTAGTTTTCTTAATGAAATTCAGCTCCATATCAGAATTTACCATTCATACTTCCTAGGAAGTAAGCACAGCAGGCAGAGAATTGTAAGTCTGTATGTTGCCATTTTACAGTAGTACGCAACATGGGCACAAAATTCAACTTCCTGTGAAGAGAAAATGGGGTTTCTTCTCATCAGTGCTAAGACATTGTAATGGTCTTGGATGAAGCAGATTATCTGCATGCATTTCAATCTGGATTCAGGTGTGGGTTTGGCATTCTTTTGGGAAGACAAGAATGGGATTCTGCTAATTCTCATTGATCCTCATGGCTTATGAGGTAATTATTTTTCTAGAACGGTTCTATGGAATGGGAGTAGAAGGCATAGTTAAACCTTGATGGTTCAACTCCTACCACTGGGATGTAATGTTGTTGAAGTCTAAAGTGATGCCTACAGATCCAAGTCTAATTTTAAAAAAATCTGAAGGAGGGAAAAGAAACATAGATGAGATGACCCACTTCTTGCTCTGTCACATATAGTGGCACTGGCAGAATAACTGCCACTGTTCTTTTACATGAGATTTTAAGAAATTGATTGCTATAGAGCAATCAGAACACACCCAGAAATCTGGGGCTCTAAACTGTCAAGAATTCACATTTTCTTAATATATTTGATATGGCCACATATCAGGAAACTGAACATGACTTGGAATATCTTTAAAATCTTTCAGTAAAAGATAGATTATTTATTTATTTATTTATTTATTTAAAACATTTCTATGCCACCCCATTCGCCGAAGCCTCGGGGCGGCTCACAACATAAATTAAAATATAATACATTCAAAATATAAAACAAATTAACAATATAAAATAAGTCGCCCTGGCCAGATAAAATAAGCAAATAATATTAACGATTAAAATGATGTTTAAATAAATAATAATTAGATTGATATTTTAATAAGGAATAGAAAAATGAGTGTTGGAAATTTTATAGACAGGTTTTAAAAAGTTCTCCCTTGTTGAGTTCAAACCTTCCAGAAATTTTATATCAACAGCCTTCCTATTATGCAGTCTTTTTGAAATAATTCTGCATATGATGTTGATATTTTAAGATAAAGGGTGGGTCCAAGATAGTTCAAATAAAGAGCCATGGCTTATGCTGAAACTTACTTTCGCTGTTGGTTGAAAGTGGGTCCCTCCTATGTAGAGATTTTGCTATAGCGGGAAAATAATTAAAGTGGATGTTCTGGAATTTTTTGACCAGTTGCAGTTTAGGCTGGCTAAGGCACTTTGGATGTGAAATGAATGAGGCTGAGGAAGCACCAAAATGGGTCACATTAGGCCCAGTGGGATGCAGTGGTTAGAGTATTGGACTGGGACTTGGAAGATCTGGGCTCTGGACCCCATTCATTCAAAGAGTTCACTGGGTGACTTTGGGCCACTCACACACTCTTCATCTAAACTACCCCACAGGGTTGTTGCTGTTGTGAGGATAAAATAGATAGGAGAATCTTATGAGCTATCTTGGGTTCCTTACAAGAGGAACAAAGGCACAGTATAAATGTAATAGATCAAGATAATCAAGATGATGATGATGATCCTGGTGGCCTTAGACTCCGTAGGTTATATTCTTTCCCTGCCTCTTCGTCTCATATCAAGTCTATTCTCCACTTGAGAAGGAAGACATCCTGTAGAACAGCCTTCCTGAAGCTGGTGCCCTCCGGATTCTTTGGACTTCAAGACATAGCAATTCTGACCAGCAGCCTTGCTGAAGCTGATGGAAGTTGAAATCCAAGACACTGAGAGAACAAGTTGCAGAAAGCTGATGAAAGGAAATATAGTGGAGTCCCCTATCTGGCAGTTCATCTGCTGGTGGGGAGCACAGTACCTGTAAGAGAACCTTCTAACCAAAGGTATTAGTAGGGCCAATGTATCTAGCTGATGCAGCACAGCTGAACTTCATATGAAAGCCAAATTAAATTTTGGAGAAACTCTTGGGGGCTGCATTCCAGTATTGGGTGGGACCAAAGTCAACAAAAGTGAGCCCAGAAAAATCAGAAGGAAAAAAAAAGACGTGTATTATAGCTTAAATTTCTTGCTTCCATTAAGTAACACTTAGGGGAGTTATTTCAACTTTTTAGACTGGGGTGAGGTAATATAGGAATTTATTCAGAGTGACTGGAGTGAGGGAGAACTTCAGAAAAGCTGGGAAACCACCAAATTAGTGAGTGACTGGGGGAAAGGGTAAGGAAGCCTGTCCAATAGTGGAACCCTTGTGAGGCCCTCAAGGGTACTCTGAAAGAAATGTGGCTCCAGTGTAACCCCCAGAAGATGCTTATCCCTATTTTAGGTCTATCTAAGGAAATCTACCAAGGGGGGGTTTCACTTAATGCTAGGTGAAAGAATGAACAACAATGATCAAGACTGCACAGTGCCAGTTAGAAGGGTTTATTCTTCTGTCTCCCTCAGCTCCTGGTGCTGGACCACTTTCTCCTGATGAAATGAGGATATGGGTTCTCTTTCTTACCTTAATATGTGTCATGCCTAACGACTTGGAGGAGTTGTTAGCACATGTAAGAGAGAGAGAAACTCCCAGTGAGAGTC